AAATTATCAAAATGCTTTATCAGTCATACTAATTCTCCACTTCATTATTAATATCCTTTGAATTTTATAAGCAATTTACAGCATTGTTCCATCTTTGACAAATTTTAAGTCTGAAATACTTGTACTAATTTTGTTAATTGTATATTTTTGTACCATGCGTATTTCATTGCTTAAAACTGATAAATTTAGATTTTATGTTTTTCTATGTGTTTCTTTCTTTAACCTTGCATTTATGTGCGTAAATGTATTTGGTTTTGTCAATTATATTATGTGTTAATTGACATAGATCTACATGTACTTTAAGTTTTTTTGTTAATTATTAATGAAGAAATGACCATTCTTTTTCAAACTTCATTTGTGTCAAACAGAGCAACGTAACATCAGGTACTCCAGTATCCAAACATATTTCTCTGTGTCTTTTATGTGTAGAATGTCTATTAAATCATGCTTTGAAATAAATCATTGAATAACCATGATTAAGTAAAATCACGTGTAGAATATTATTTATTAAATGACATTTTCCTTATTGGAGATCTTTCTTCATAAAAATTGACATTCAATTATTTACGACATATACATGTAGTTGGTTACGTAATCAGACGTCTAACCTATCTATAGAAAGTGAATAGCATGAAGTATTATATTTTGAAAGTACAGTCTTTGACGACAACTGACTCGAATGTGAATGTTAAGCGTGTACATAACAGTCTGAAAATTGAACTTTGGTGATAAAAACTGGTAATGAAAAATATAGAAGCCATTTTAGAGCTTCATTGGGACATTGCATTAAGTTTGCAAGTGATCAAACTACATGATTGTACACTTATATCAATGGGAAAGAAGCTAACATGGAACAAACAACATCAAGGAATATAACAAGTGTCCCAAATACATGTTTGAGTCTTTCTTACTTGGGAAGTCAAATAACAGAATAAATATTGAGAGGAGAAAAAAAATCAGTTGAATTAATTAAGTGTATTAAAAGTTTAAAAAATCAAGTATTAAATATTGTTAATGATTAAATGAAATGGAGATAAAACAATATTTATTTTAGTGTTCCTAATACATAATTATAATCTCTACTGCGCATTCACTGCGCATGTGCAGTATTTGTTTTAGGGGAATATTTTATATTTTACAATTTCAATACTTTAGGGTTGCAAAAATTTAAATTACTTTTGCTTGATTTATCAGCGCTTCATCAAACCAATCAGTGGAGTGTAATTTAAATGTAAATATAAAAAAATAGTGATTAATTCAAAAATCTGTAAACAATACAAATATGTTAAAAGAGCATAAAACACGTACCTCTTGATATTTCAGAGCTACACGGAGGTTAATAAGATCAGGCATTTATTCCTTGACCGTCTGTGTTTACATAAATTGTTTAATTATTACCTTGTGGATCTGATTTTCTTTTTGTTGAAAAAACGATTTTGCTTTTCAAAAAACTAATTTCAAGAGAGTAAAATGTTTTCCAATTGTGTTTTCCACAGAATTATTTTACTTAAAATACCATAACTGACAGGAAGACGGTTCAAAATATGATAAATGTTAAACCCTATAGTGCAAAATGTATACATGTAATACCTTGTCTCAACGTCTTTTATCCCCCCCACCCCACCCCACCCCAGTTCTAGTTTCCTGGGGGCAGGGTTGCTACTGGGAAATCATTCACATTAAAAATACACCGAACCAAACTTTTAAGTGTTCACCTGAGATTCTTTAAGTTATAAAGAATAAGTGCATAAATAAATAATTTCTTTAATTTATGGTTGATGAAGCATATTTATACTAACATGTAAAGACATATTATAGAAATTTTATTGTACATTTTCGAAGGATTTCAGTTAACTTTTTATATAGCTGTACAAAAAATAACTTAAATTTAAATGTATTCTTTTTATTGTGTACATGGATTGGTATTTTTGTATGTGTATTTCAAAAAGATCAAGACAAATAAGCCTTATTCCTGTGGTTTATCAAAACAATAAGGTTAGTCTTGAGACCTAATCACCTGTTCGACCACATTTAGGATCACTGACCTTCAAAAGGACCGAAATAGATCATGCTATATAACAATAGATAAAGATGATATTTGAAGGATTGAACTAAGTTCATGAATTATGTAGGTTGTCACTGAAAAAAATTGAATTTTTAAAATCATTCAAAAAGTACTTGACAAAAATTATTCATTGATGACACGTAATTGAGAAGATATTTTTTAAGTATGTACATACGTAGAAGGCTATTCAAGGAGGAGCAGCGTAAAATACATTATGAGTCAATATCATATGTTTCTTTTAAGATTAATTTTCTACACACTTTTAAGATTAAAGTGTCATAAGATGTATACAAACAAAAAGTCAGCATGCGTTACCAGGGATTTCAGAAAGTAGGGTTGGGCAAAAATATCGATATTTCGGTATATTGCAATACAACGACAAACAATATCGTATCGCTATATGTTTTTACAATATCGATATACCAGCAAAATGCTTTGACTAAGGAATTTTATTTTTAAATAATTTAATTTCAGATTTAACGCGTCATTTGATTGGTTAAACGGTTTTATCCATTTCGTATAACATAACTTGCCTACGTCACAATGAGTTACATAAAAAACGCATCTCTCCGCTTGACGTTACTTTTAAAATAATGCTCAGTTTGAAGCCTTTTTGATCATAATTATGTACATTCTGTCTACAATGAAATTAAATTAATGAAATAAGGAAAAAGCCATTTTATATAACATTAAAAATATTGCAGTACGCTTGTTTATAAACCGCTTACGGTTAAAAATATCGCAATACATATCGGATAACATATACAAATTCCTTGGCCTTAAATATAAGAACTATGGTAAGAAAAGTTTGTCTAAGCCAAACAATAAGACAGGAAAAATTTTATGGGTGCATTTTAAAGCAAAAAATGTATAAAAGATACTGGCCATATATAAAAATCAGAACAATGGTAGAATTGTGATAGTTTGTATCAGAAGTTAAAATGTTTTAAAATGTATAAGTACTAATTTTGACTCAAACTTACATGGAATCATTAAAATATAAAACACAGTTTCTTCAAAACTGGTGGAATTTCATCATATTTGGAAATATTTCTCTTCGACCAAAAAGTTCAATCTTGTCGTATGCCCTTAATTTTTACACATAAACTGCATCTGATATTTTATTGTATAATATATATATAAATTTGGTACATAGGCAAGCCTATATATGTTTTCCTCAAAAAAATGTGCTGTAAAATTGATGAAAATTTGCATGAAATTGAGAAATGAAAATATATTCCCATTTGGCCCCTGTATATTCTAAATCTTAAAACCAATGCTCATTTTGTGGCAGGGGTAACAACAGGTTTTTATGGATAAACTGTTACATTAAAGACATAGCAAAACTTGGGGGCTTTTTAAACTTGTCCTTTAATAAAACCAAAAAGATTTTTTTTCTTTTGCTTAATCATAATTATGTAATTTTTTAAATAAAAGTTAATATGATAAAAAAAAAGCCTCTGCTATAAATTTCATTTTTAAAAGTTGTAATATTGTTTTTCATGAACAACAATAACATAAATTAAAGCCACAACAGTTTGATTGATTGTATATTGTTTAACGTCCCTCTCGAATTTTTTTTCACTCATATGGAGAACCACTTGAAAAGCTGATTTTGATGAACACTTAGGGCCATTAGCAATTTGCGTGCGCTTTAAAAATATAAGCGTCTTGAATAAGATAAATTAAGGTATTGCTATCTTCGCTGTAACGCAAAACAGTTTGAAGTATCGCTGCATCTTTTCAGAAATGATTTTTATGTCAGATCATGTTATGCAGAAATTTCAATACAGGAAACATATTTACGTCGAGCTTTTTTTAAGATATCAATACTGAAAAAGGGTCTTTGCTTGACAAAAATTTTACTAAATTATGGAGATATCAATACTCCTACGAAGGATGACCAACCACCTCCTAGAATATTCACGTCATTATTATGGGTAATTTTTATCCAGATTTCATCATTTTGTAAGAGGTCGAGTAAAACTGATTGAGTTCCAGTAGAATACGTTGCGTTGTCTCCACTAAATATATACGCCACGACATCCCCGTTTTTTGCGATTTCACATCGGACTTCATGGGCGACAAGGCTCAGAATGGACGCACTGAAGAGGTATAAACCTGGAACGGGTGCCCGAAATATACCTGTAATTGGGTCAAATCCATTGCCGGCATTGGTGATGACTTTAGGGAAATGAACAGTACTGTCTATCATTAAATGCGTCTGATGGACCGTTGTTACTGCAGTGAATCCAATTTTATCTGCGTTATACGTAGGAGTCGGGGTTGTGGTGCTGTCTTTTCCAATCAGTCGTTTTTGTTCACCTAAGAAAAAAAGGGTACGTATTATCAGTGGCGGATTTAAGGGGGAGGCGCACCCGGCGCCCCCCCCCCCCCCCTTAAAATTGTCAAAGTAATTTTTACGAAAAAAAACATGCAAAGTTTAAAGTGAGTTCGGAGCTGTACATGTCAAGTACAAGACTGTTGTTGACATTTTTTCTCATTTAATGTGTACATGTGCTGTCACGAAATTTCGTGAACAAAAGCATTGCCTATACAAATGAATGTCGTATTTCTTAATTCAATGAACATTTAAATTCGTGGATCTCCTCAACATCGAAATCCTCGGAAATTGGTGCTCAACGAAATACTGATAAAATCACAGCATTTTTTATTTCTCAATTAGAGGGAACCCGAGGATCCCAGACCCCCTTTTGTGTCCAAAATACATGTTTTTTTGGAGCGACTGTTAGCTATATCCCGACCCCGATTACTTGTATGACCCGTCTTTTTCAAGATTTCTGGATCCGCTACAGTTACTGAGTACATGTATTTTATCGTTTGCTGATCGGTCATACGCAATCTGTGCTCATTGTCATGAATTTAAACAATATATGTTTACTGTATATATCATGAATAAAAAATTCTGAACCATTTTACCATTTTTTAAAATATTATAATGAATGTAGAAAGTGTCATACATTGATTTAAAATTTGCCTCAGTATGCTAAAATTCCTCTTCATCGGACAGTGTGACATGTAACTTCGTCCAGAGACCTCACAGAAGTTATGGGAATACTTCCGGTACACTGAGCAGACCAACCATCGTTTCCGTTGCATCCCATGACACATGAAGAGTTTACACTATTGAGAGGGTAGGTAATATTCTGTATAGTCCTCTGTATGATGATTGTCGCCGGTGGGTAACCGGAAGTTGAACAGGTGATCTCGTAAACACCATTCTTCTCTGATTTTCTGATATCCATCTGGTCAGCCGACACTTCATCTTCAATTATACAAAATCAATATTCCGAAAAGCTTTAAAATAAAGTATACTAATGATTCTTGTTGATAAACAGTCATATATAAACATATGGATTCTTGGTTTTTAAAATTAAACAATATATACATGCATTATTTTCATTCGAGATACTTTATGGAAATTATTTTATAGGATAACGTGAATTATAAAGTAGTTTTTAAATAAATACATGAATTAGTGTGAACACTAAAAAGTTTTGTTAAGTGTATATTAAAGTCAATATGTTATATTGTGTAACATGTGTTTCTACGTATGTGTATCTGAAGGTGTGTATTTATATGCTGCAAGTCAATTATACATTTTCATTGAGTTATTTTAAAAAAAAAAACTTACTTTCATATTTGATGCCCACTGTATCATTGAAATTCTCTGTCGAATTAACACTATACAAAGTTATATGATAATATCCATTCTCGTCACATTTATTGGGATCTGCATGAAATTCAACCGAGCTCTCCTTAATTTTAATGTTCCATCGTCCAATGCGGAATGGTTTTGCCTCTACTGTACTGTTTATTTCCATAATGCCTTCGGTTGGGCCTGTTTCTGGTATGAATTCCAAGATCACAATTGAGTCGTTAATAGGTGTATCACTTGGATACACACATGTGATTTCTATTGATGAATTAAATTTCAGCTTTCCGGACATCGGCTTAGGTTCACAGTCTATAAATGATATAGGCATTAAAATTGAGATAATTGTTATCCTGCATTAAACTTTATAAGGTTTGTTTCAATTTTTGTACTATGTACCGGTATGTTAATTAATACTTGTTTAAATACATATTACAGCATACTGGTTAATTAAACTAATACTTTTGAAGGGAATGATCATAAACTACTCTTTCTATTCATAAAGTCTCTTTCAAAATTCAAAAAATATTGATTGTGATTAAAAGTAATAACTTACCAAATTTGTCTGCTTTTTCACCTGAAAAAATATATTGTAGATCGATGAAGATTTAAAGGAAAGTCTTAAAAAAGAAAACGATACTACTCTCTCTCTCTCTCCCTCTCTTTCTCTCTCTCTGCTTACCTGTATTTTGTTTAGAAGTAGGATGACTATATTCTACGGCTAGTACCACCACTGCTGATATTCCTACTACCACGCAAATTATGGCTAGAACAGGTTTGAGAATCTACAACACGTGTACATGTAAAAACTTTATAGTGAATGTTTATACCAGCATAGCTTTCTACAAAAATACCTGCTTCTGCTTTTGTAAGCAAATTAATAGAATTATTTTTAAATATTCACGTTTATACATGTAGCACGTGTTCTTTTTGTGTTGATTGAATTTGCATCCTCAGCTTTATCATAGAATTCCATATTCTGAAAAGTGAATGTAAATTCGTTATAATTGTTTTATTATACCGTTTTCATTTGATATTTTTCAAGAAGTTTTTTTTTCTTTCACAAGCTAAAATGCCTACAAAACTTTCAACAATTATCGCAGACAAAAGCTGGGATAAATATTCCTACAATTCTTTCATGTAAGAAAGGAATATCTAACCTGATGCAACTCCATTTGTTTACAGATTTCGTTAAAAAAATATTTAATTTTGGTAAAACGACTATTTTAATATACATATGTACCTATATTGTATCTACATGTCGATAACAGGAAAAAGTTTTGTATCTTTAGCCAAAACTTCCAAGATCATGTAATCATGAATGACAAATAAGATTTAAAGGTATATCACTATTTATATTAGTATATAATAGCATTTTGAAAGAAAGCCACAACTTACTGTGTCTTAAGGTATCATGACTATCATTAAATAAAATTGAATGCCATTTCACGGAATGTACAGCATGTCGGCACCAGCAATCCTACAGACTTACAAAACGTCTACAGGGACTGTTTACCATTGGTCTCTGATCAGTAGAGCAGTAGAGCTACATGTAACGAAATGAGATTATGTGTAGCCTTGAAACCTACAATTACACAGTATATTATAATTACCTAAAAAGTGTCCATTTACTCTCTTGAAATTTACTGTCTCGAGATCTGCAGTGATAGAAAAAAATCACATGTTTTATTGTACAGAATTTCACAGTAATGACGGATTTCTAGAAAATGATGTATAAAGTATCGACATTCTTAAAAGAGAATTTGACTTATATGCTCATTTAAAATGTACTCTCATTTCATATAGAGATATCTTAATTAAATAAATTTTCTCCCTCCTTTATAGAGGTATTAAGTGCTTAAAGTAGAATTCCGTACACAATGCTACACTTTCAATGAAAATTTTCAAAGAAAATAAAAAGCTTGCAAAACTATCTTCTAAAATAAAATCTTAAAGCTTCATTAACTAGCTTACTAAAACTTTAAGCAAAAATGAGAAAGTAATGTTTTGATGGCATTGCGTGTGATTTCTCATTTAGCACGGAAGTACACATACCTATCAATTAATATTATCGAAATTTTTGGAAATTAAAAAAAGTGATATCTTTGAATTATAGGTATGATGTATTCTTTTTAATTTATCAATTTTACCCAAAAAATTAATAAAGATAAAAATACGTCATACCTTTTTATGTACTAAAAAAATTGATAGGTACCCGAATTCCTTTGCATTGACTTTCCAATGCAAAAACATCATGAAATGTCTAACTTTTATGTTTTACTAATGCATATTGGTGTAATTTTTGGGGCATTTAAACTATTTTTAATTTAACTGTAGTGTTTTTAGGATTTTAGTTTTTGTAACAATACTTATAAATCCATGTAGCCTTTTTGTACTCTGTAAACCTAGTACCGTTGAAAAAGAGCAAAATTTATTACAAGATTACAAGATTATATTTTTCCAGTCATAACATGCATACAGTCATTTAACAGATTCGAAAATGTAAACATATATTTTTCAGAAGGATTACCTAAATTGCTATCCAAACCTAAATTAACTTCAAAAATGCATTGACAAAAAAGAAAATATTTGTAACATTTAAGAAAGAGTTTTATATACATACCTGATTTAAATCCAATATAAATGAGTGTGTACAGTTAAATCTTTTGTGATCTGTAGTTTTAAGAATAAACATCTGCTTATAAAAGGTTTTTTTTTCATGTAGTTGCAATAGGACACATGCATGTAAACGATACGTATCGAAATACCAGAGCTCTATCTGCAAGTGAAACATTACGTAATACATCTTTTTGTACATTCATTCAATCAAAGATTTAAAGCTTTACAGTATCTTTCATGCCTCGATTGTATTTTTGCATAGTGATTCTTTTTAATCTGTATTTTAATCAAATATCGACTCGCAACTGTGATTTCGTTCACAATACATATTGTCTTCAAAACAATAAAAAGGATCAAACACTATATGCTTTGAACGAAGGCTCCTTTATATATATATATATATATATATATATATATATATATATATATATATATATATATATATATATATATATATATATATATATATATATATATATATATATATATAAATCTTTTCAAAAAAGAAACACGAAAACCTTTAGTTTAGCTTAAGCGCTTTCATTTCAAATCTTCAAAAGCTTTATAATACGTAACATAGCAACATGACGTCATAATAAGCGGAACATTACATACAAACGTCTATTGTGACGTCATAGTCAAACTTTGCGGGAAAACTGTAGAATGAAAATAATAAGTACAATTTTTACAACAATTATGCTCAATTGTTCAGTCTAGGTTTGAACAAATGTATAAAATGTTTTTCTTTCTCACGTCTCTGAATATCACTTTCACTTGAAAGTTTGTAAAAAGGAAATATAGTGAATTGTTTATTTCCACAAGTATCCAAATGTTCACTCAGAGGGATTTGCCGATATTCCGGAGAGTTAATATGTTGTCGGTGGACACGCACCCGGGCACGCAATTGATTGCTCGTTTCCCTATAATATATATATATATATATATATTTGGCAAGGGGAACCCGGAAGTCAAAATCAAAGAGCAGTGTTCCCTAATTTAACACTGTGGTAATAAATCATTTTTTTTTTATTTAAACAAGAGAAATACCAATTAAAACTAGAAAGTCTGCTATTGCAAGCAATAGCGTATGTCGCCCCGAACTGGACAAGACTTTCATTTTTGTATCATTAAAACAATACCCATTAGCTAAGCTTGGACAACCATCAGTTCGTATCAGTCCTTTAAGTACTTTGATTTAAAAATCAAAGTAAAAGAATTTTCACTTTCCCCTGGTTTCCATGGCAATAATCGATTGTTTGAAAATTTTAAATGCGAAACTACTATTACTAATTCCTTAAATTAAAAAAAAAATCATAGCGAATGTTAAAGGGACCAGAGAGAACACTCGTGGACAAAATTCGTAGCTTTTTGCAGATTTCCATGGTAACTGTAGCTATTTTGAAAATGAATGTCCACACAACTATAACCAGTACGTCCTTTGAGTAAAGTTTCAGGAATATTGTCCTAGCCATCTCCGAGAAACAGCCCGGAGAACAAAAACATGCGTACAATATTATTATGTCGCCCCCGATTTCGTTCGGGGCGACATAATAATAGTACCTTAAATTTCTAGCCCAATACGCGTCGGCACCCGAAGCTGGGGTGGAAAGTTAGGCAAAGATGATCGGAAAGTTGAGGTTTAATCCTCGGTCGATTAAAACTTTTAGCAACAATTCCTTCTTCAAGCGCCAGGCACTCTGGAGTGAAAATGCGGGTCATTTTTGGGAAATCTTCTACTTTTAATACGAGAACCTGTATCAAGATAAAGATCCCCAACTTAAGCATGTCGAAAGAGCAGCTGATCTATTTTCCTCATGGTAGTACTCGTGGAGAAATGAGATGTGAATATTTCTTTACTCCTTCGATAAATAATTTACAGTCTTGATTGAAAATTGATCGATTTGGGCACATAGTCGGCAAGGTGTTCAAAAAACACGATTGTTATCTGGCTTTTTCGGACATTTGGCAACAAATCAGAGGCATTTCATAGTGCTTCATTGTCTGTCCTTTAATTCCGTCGGCCTGTGGATGGTCTACATGTAAGATATCAAAACGTCAGTCAGCATTTAACTCATTGATAGGTACTTCTAAGGAAAACAGATAACTTTTCAGATTATTTTTACACCTCTCTCGGAGTTTTGCAACAATTGGAAGGATATATATTGTAAACAAGATGTGTTTGTAAAACACTGATGCCCCCGTATGGCAACATAGCAAAGATTAAACTTTTCTTAAATGCAAATTTAATGGTACCAAAAGTAGGGTATTCTCACTGGAAAACAATTATGAAATTTGAAAGTAGGCCAATGTTAAAGTTTTTTCAATCAGTGCAAATTCTCCAAGGTCAAGGTCAAAGGGTCAAGGTAATTGGTATTCAATGAAAGATCTTGCCACATAGAATACTTATGTAGAGTATGGAAGCCTTAGCCCTAACCGTTCAGAAGTTATGCCCAATGTTAAATTTTTTTTAAGTAGGTCAAACTCTAAGGTGAAGGTCAAAGGGTCAAATTTCTTGTTAGCAAATGAAAGGTCTTGTCACAAGGATTAAATAATTATGTAAAGTATGAGAACACTAGCCTTAACCCTTTAAAATTTATGGTCAAGGTTTGCTTTTTTAGAGTAGGTCAAACTCAAAAGTCAAGGACAAAGGGTATAGTTGCTTGGAATCCAATGAAGGGTCTTCTCAAAAGAATTACATATATAAAGTATGAAAGCCCTATATCTTACCGTTCAAAAGTTATGGCCAAGGTTAAAGTTTTTTCATAAGTACAGAAATCTACAAGGTCAAGGTCAAAGGGTCAAGGTTGTTGATATCCAATGAAAGGTCTTTCAACAAACATTACATATGTGAAGTATAAATGTCCTGGTATCTACTGTTCAAAAGATATGGCCAAAGTAAAAGTTTGAAATTTTCATGTAAAAGTGGGTCAAACGCCAAGGTCAAGGTCAAAAGGTCAAATTTGGTGGTACCCAAAGAAAGGTCTAGTCACAAGGAATATACATATGAAATATGAAAGTCGTAGCTTAACTGAATCAAAAGTTATGGGCAAGGTTAATGTTTTTGCGGACAAACAGAGAGACAGTCAGAGAGACAGAGAGACAGACGGACACGACAAAAACTATATACCCCCGAAACTTCGTTTACGGGGGCATAAAAAAA